TAAAGTTAGGCTAGATTTTAATAATAAAATTTAGAGAATATTGAAATATAATCCTCTCCTGAACCTGACTAAGAAACTGTAAAACTATGGGAATTTCAAATATTTATTTTTGCTGAAAATTTATGGGATTCATCATAATGCTTTATGTGCGATACTCTAGCACCATCCAACAAAATTCTTTATAAAGAAGCTGAAAATTAAATAATAATAATCATGTATATTTATATATTACTATCCATAAAAAAACAATATTCATTTAAATATTTATAATAATAATAATTTTATAGAATTTACTTTATCTAATTGTAATAAATATTATGGATTAAAATTGGGAATAGATGATGCTACATTAACAGCAACTGGTTCTGTTGCAGGAGGAATGAATGGATCACAAATTAACTTTTACTCTCATATCATTATTAAATATCATAACTACTGCCTTTTTACCATATAATAAAGATGGAATAGGTTATCGATTATAGATTGCTATTGTCTATCTTACAGATGGTGGATTTTTGGCAACGTATCCAGTTATTTATGCAAAAATATCCTGAAAGAAAATTTGGAGGTTTGATGTTTGGTTTTATGTTCTACTTTGTTGATGTATCAAATACGATTGGATATTTATTAAATGCATTTGCAAAAAAGTAAATAAAATTGAAAGAAGTATTTTGGATTTATTTTGCTTTGAATGTTATTGCAATTGTTTTGGGTTTGATTCATAAGAAAGTTGGATATGATTAGAGATATTAATTAGTTATTGATGCAGAGAAAGAGAAGGAAAAAGAATTATATAATTGGCTGCATTTTAATATTGAATTAGTATTATTTTGGTTTCTTTTTATTTGACTACTTATTTCTACATGTTTATTATTCAAACTAATTTATATATTAACAAATAATTTTCCATCCAATATTAGAAAGGGACAAAAATGGAGAGTTTTGAAGAGAAAGTAATGAATAATATTTCCTAGTCTAATCTCTAATTTAAATAACAAATATAGTAATTCTTATTATTATATTAATGTTATTGATATTCTAAAAAGCAAATGTATTGTTATTCTTCATAAGAGTAGATAGAACAATAGAACAAAACTATTCTAAACAAATCTAAATAATGTAAAAACAAGAGTATAATTACTATTCTTGTAAAGAAAATCAACATATGAACCTATTAAAAATTAAGGGATGAAATGATAGACTAAGTTAGTTTTAATCATTTAAGAATTGAATTGAATTGTAGTAAGTCTAAGAATTAGAAAAAAATTTATGTTAACATTCAGAATTATAACAACTTTTGATTTACAATAAAGAAGCAAATTTATTATCAAATTTAATGAATTAGATTGATTGGCCAGATTAATTAAGTATTTCAATAAAACAATATCAGTAAAAACTTAATTAATTGACCAATAATAATAAGGATGTATTATTAAAAATATATTTTAATTATAGTAGAGAATGTTATACTCATTAGATAAACTTAACATAATTATATATTAGTTAATAAATTGAAGAGTATGAGTTAAATTTGGCAAGATAAAGAATTTCAAATTATCAAAATGAATTAAATTTGTTAAAATAATGAATCATATCATTTTGGATTATTAAGTTGTTGAAAGTATTGGAAAAGCAATCTTCAATGATTATAGTAATTATTAAAATTATACTAAATTAGATAATACAATTACTAAAAATATAAAGTTGATACAGTCAAAATTTATTCAATACTTTTCATATATACATGTTCAATTCGTAAAGGGAGTGTGAAATGGTAATAGAATTAAATATAATAATGTGTAAGTAGTTTATCTTTTGTTGATTTAAAAGATTGTAGATGGGAAATTTTAGCTTGGTATAAATAATATTAAAATTGACGGAGCGTTTTGTTTTTGAATATTTTGAAATATCTTCTTTTTTTGAATAGTTTTTATAGTATTATAGTCTCAAAAATATATATATTTAGAAAATAATTCTTTGAGACAGGAATAAAATCGAGGATGATGAATTAAAATATCTTAATAATGCTTTTTATAAATCCTTTGTTTGTAAAGAGATTTTAGGATAGGCTTATTGTGATTTATTAAGAGAGCGAAAACAAATTACGAAAAGTAATTAATATATTCTTAGAGAGAAATGAAAATAGTTAAATAAATAATAATAAAAGAATTTTGATTTTGAATGTAAATTTGCAGATTATAAGGTTTTGATTGAGAAAAATGAAGATGAAAAATTAGTAATATTTCCAAAAGGTACATGTGAATAAGTTTTGAAAAATAATAATTCAGAAAAATGGTATGAGTATCTGTTATATAAAATTTATTTAGTATTTTTATTAAAATATAATGGATCATTTTATTATATACAAAATATTAGAATAATTATCATTTGTTATGCATTAAACTTTTTTATATTTATTAATACAAAATTACTAAAATGGTTTTAATTATATTAATAGCTTAATAAAGTAACACAAAGTGCCAATTTTACTAACAATTCATTTTAAAGATACATAACTCACTCAACTAGCAAACATATGTTTTTTTGGGTCATATCCTCTAATTATTTAAATTTGTATAATAGTTATTAAAATTGCAAAAACCAAGAGGGATGATCTCTTTAAATCACCAGAATAAATATTCCTAAAAACATGTTTATTCTTTACACACTCTATCTGGTCAATAAATATAAACCAGGCGATGGACAATGAAGAAATTGCTTATACCCCTTGCAGAGGAAGAAAAATAAAAAATTCTTCTTAGCATTACTGAATCTAATAAAACTTTACAATGGCAAATGTTATAGTTAATTCAAAAAGATATAGCTAATTATAGCTAATAACAAAAGATTAGTATCTAAGAATTATTCACAAGTTAAAAATATTTTCAGAAAATGAATATTTTGTGTTTCATATTTTAATTATTATAAACTGAAGTATAAATTTATAGATATTGAAAAAGATCCATTAATCAACGAATAGAGGCAATTGTACTTTAAGGTAGTTAAAATAACACTTACATTAATATCACTATTTTATAGCTTTTTAATTATTAAAATGAAGAAAATATACCATGTTATTAATATCATCATTAAACAAAAGTACTTTTTAACATGTAAGACAATTCAAATTATGGCTTTTATAATATATTGTTAATAGATTATAGTGTATACTTGGATTATGTACTGAACATATTGAAAAAATAAGTGACTTAATTTTTTGGAAGTAAATTTTAATTTCACCATAAACTTCTTAATATAATTAAGAAAGAATGTTTGCAATTCAATAGATGTGTAATGATTCATATATATATATTTTAATTTACAATAAAAATTCTAAAATTATAGTAATACATTAAGATTTGAATGAATTCTATTACCTTATTATTTTTTAGTGATAAATTCTATTTGAATTTTCTGTAATTACACATTAATATTATGTCTTCAGGTTTAGAATTTAGGGCAATATATTTATATATCACATATTTATACTTAAATGATATGTACATATTAGATATAATTTTTGAATATATTTTTAAATTTCTTCAATCAGACACTCAGAAGTAGCTGAAGGGATTCAATTCTTTTAATCAAAATGATACAATAATGTATATATCTTCCAGATTTTCTAATTGAATATCTAAATGTGTATATAAGTTCCAAAAGGCTAAACCCTATAAAATAAACCCTTTTAATAATACTAAACTTTAGACATTTAATTAAGGCTGAGAAAGTATCAAATGGGTTTTATATTTGTTGTACCGTATATACAATTATAGAATAATTTTATGTTTATTTTTATAAATTTAATAAGTTAATAATTTAATTATATATTACTTTTAAACTGATTACTAGAAAGACTATTTCTACAACAATAAAACTTTGGATCTTGAAGTTATGGAGTTTGTTTAACAAATTTAATTTATATAAAGTGTTTTTCTGTTAGGTTTAGCAACCAATTAATTTATAAATTTTATTATATTTTATTTTTCTTATTAAACATCTCAATATATGAGAAACAGTGAAATAATAGGATATATTAAGGCATATATCTGGTTGATTAATCAAATCTTATAAATATTATTTAAATGTATGCTTATTTACAATCAATAATTTGAATAATAAAATATACAAGGCAATTACTAAAAAGTAATGCAGTAATGTCTTTTTCTTAAAATTTTCTAAATTCAACAATTAATAATTGATTCATTGACTAATTTTAGTCATCATGTAAGTGATAAATTTTTTAATTAATTTTTAGAGGGAAAAGGATAAAATTACATTTGTAATTATTTTTTGAAAATGACCTAGTATTCAAACTGGTTTACATAAAT